TGGTGACTCTCCAGTGCCGGTTTCCAGGCGGTCTCTTGCGGGAGCGGGGCTGACCCCCGAGGGCAGGGCGCCTGCTTAACGTCTCACCTTTGCCGAAGGAGCGGGGAACTGAACTTGGCGCGTACCGCGGCTTGATCCGCCTTTGGTCGCCGAGGAATAAACCAGTAATTCTTCCCGCAGCCTCCTCCGCGCCCGCCTTGCTGCCAAGTTTAAAGCTGTTGTGTTTGCTCACAGTCTCCCTCCTCCAAGGTCTCTCTTCAGCTCAGGCTACTGTCACTACATGAGCAAATCTCGCTCCCTGTGCCTAGTGATCTTTTTCTAGCCCTCTTTTTCATGCTTCTGTATGCATTAATGCAGGGGTTTTTGCGGCTCTTCTTCCCTGCGCCCTGCAGACCATAGAGGATTAGTGTAAAAAAAAAAAAATAGTGGAACGGCCGTTTTGCCACTGTCATGAGGTCTAGTTGGCGTCTGTGCTGGCGCTTTGAAAGAAACCCCCTGCCTGGTGTGTGTTTGCTGGGACCGGTCTTGCCGGGGCAGGTGTGTCCCCCGGCCTCGCTGGCCCGGGCTGTGACAGGGAGAGAGAGCTTACCACGCGGGGGGTACCCAGCCAGCGCATGTGGCTAATGCTTCTTTCTGCCCACTGTCTTTCCTATTCATCCCTTCCCCATCTACCTGAATACCCCTAGCTGGAGGCCCCTCAGCAATTCTCTGCACCCCTCCTTGCATGACTTGTTCCCTCAATGTACTGTTTCCCCTTTTTTTAATGGCTTGACTTTTCGCCTTTGAGAGGAAGCCGATTCTGCCACTCTCTCTGGCTGTTTTCCACCTTCCTCCTTGCTTTCTGGAGGTGGTATCTGAGGACCCCATCAACGTTACCCATTCCGCGTGCACCTGAGAGCCAGGAGAGCGCTGCTGCTGTAGCACTGGCTCTTTGCCTTGTTTCCCGCAGCCAAACGCCATTAGGAGTTAAAACTACATGAATACTTTCTGAAGCTGGCAACTGCTGCAGTACCTACAGCCGTATTTTGTGACTGGAGGGAGAGGGAGGAAAAAAAAAGATATGAATGCTATAATTGTAAATGGGAGAGGTACTGGCTGAAGTTCCCCATCAGAAAGTGATCTCTGGTATAAAAAGTGGCTGACTATTTAAGTAGTCACCTTCTGCTGACACTCCTGCAATTCATCCTGGTTTTTTAGGAGTCACTTTTTGTACCTATGTGGGGTGCTGCTTCTGCAATTCTTGCTTTTTAGCCAGTTGCTGGACATCTTCCTGTTTCTGTGTTTGAATTCTCTTCTGCTGTGTGAAAAACTTTTGCTGACGTCCTCTGCTGCCCATAACTTTTCTTCCTTTTCTTCTGTCTACACTTCTTCGTCCCTAGGAGTTCCTCCTGTTGGTGTTCCTCTTTCTCCTCATTTCCTTTGCTCTGAAGTTTCTACCTGGATATTTTGCTTCAGTACACTGTGCTTTGGGATGGCTGGCCAGGTAATTTGGCAATGCTGCTCACCAGATACTATTCTTACATTTTAAAAAAAGGCATTATTTATAAGTTATACATCTGTTTAATGGTAAGTCAGTCTTTTAACGTGTTGGTGGTGACTTTGAAAGTACATTCCTGTAAACATCCTTCTTAGTTTGAAAATCATTTGACTTCTTGAGGATGATGTCATGGATGTGACCAAGAACTCTTTCAATAACTGTTTTTTGTTCATCAGGAAGATTAACAGTCTCTAATGAATCTCTGTAAAACCATCTGCTGAATCTCATGGAGAATCTAGTCCATGATAGATTATTTTGGATCTATTCTTGGGTGGGCACAAAACCTTAACACAAGCTTATCTGAATTGCACACAAATACATCTATATGCAGGTAGAGCATTATACAAATTTAAGTTCAGATGTAGTCTCTGCGTGTTTCTGTCCTGACTCACAAATACAACTACGTGCAAACGGGCGCTCAGCCTTATGTCATCTGGTCAGTGATGCGCATGGGAGGCGTGCCCTGTTCTCCACCTTCCGAATCTTGTCTTTTCACAGATGTGGATGAATGCGCCCTGGGCCTCGATGACTGCCACACAGATGCTATTTGTCAAAACACCCCGAAGCTCTACAAGTGCATGTGCAAAGTGGGTTACGCTGGAGAAGGGAAGAAATGTGAAGGTAAAGTGATGGAAGCACTATGCTGTGCCTGTGTCAGCATGAGGTATTTCTAAGAAGACAGAGCCATTAAAAATAATGGCTTAGAATATGGAGGATGATTTTAGGTCAAAATTGTAATTTTTTTTTTTCACCTGATTTAGTTCTTGTTTACAAAATGAAAGGCAAACAGATTGCATGACTTTTCATCTGGTGGTATCACTTGTTCTAATAATTAGTTTGTTGTTTAACCAGAAGCCTTAAAAACTATAAGGTAAAGCTACACGGTAATCTCAGGCCGTTTTGTCACTCTTTAGAAACATTCAGCAAGTAATGCGTTAAGTATGATCTCTTTGCAAGGCAATGATGATTTTGGACAGCTGTGGCTGCTCACATTTACATGGTTGCATCTCTGACTGTCTATAACACTCAAGCAAGCATCCATCATACTGACTTTTGCTTTATTCGTTAGACATTGATGAATGTGATAACGACTTCAATGGAGGCTGTGTCCACGAGTGTTTCAACATTCCAGGAAATTACCGCTGTACTTGCTACGATGGCTTTATGTTGGCTCATGATGGCCACAACTGCCTGGGTAAGAAGTGTGTTTATGACCATTGTGAGTAGTGGTGCCAGTATAAACCTTTAACCGCATCCGTGGGAAATGCATGGCGGTCTGTTGGGCTGAATCAGCTCAGCTAGAGAAGAATGTTACATATGGGACTAAGGAATTCCAGGTACTGATGTACCATCCCATTGTGGCTCTTTCTCCCTCTGTAAAGGCAGAGGAGAATTGTGCTATGTTTCTGTTAAGTGCTTTGGATTTAAATGTATGAAGAGCCATCTACTATTATGCTGAGTTTATGTAAAAACACCTGTGCTACCCAAAGTTCGTTTAGGGTCAGTTCTCAGGTGTGTTTCCACACACAATTTCTCCCTGATACATCCATAACGTGTAGGCTTTTCACTCTTACTGTGTCTGAATACTTCCCGTCATGCAAGATGTAACGATAGGACAATTAAAAGTGTGCAGTAGCTGCAGATGGTAGAGACCATTGAAGTACAGAGGGACTAAGCCCAGTGCTTGGAGTTTTTTCCTGGGTGGTTAGTGTGAAGCGAAGCACGCAACTGTGGCAATGTATTCGATCCTGGCAATGCTCCCTTGACCCCGCATGCACATGCTTTCTCTCACCTTCTTTTTCTTTTCTTTCTTTAAGACCTCCATAGTTTACTTCTTTTTGTGCACCAGCAGGTGAAAATCTTTAAAAATGGGTAACAAGACTGTGTGCTTTTGTGTGCTTTTATGGTGATAGTATCCTTCGGCAGACAGTGCAGCAGCGTACTGAAACATGAGTTGCCACCCTGTTGGCAGTGTGGTACTCTGCCGCTGCCGGCGTTATTTCCCTGGGACACAGCCTCATGTTGATGAAGCCGTCCTGCTGCCAGGACCAGCGCTGGGTACCCTGTGTGCCTCTGCCCTGTGCTGGGGCACCTGTCCCCTTTACTTTTTCAGAGATGGCTCAGTTTTTCTCTTGTGCTGCACTGAGAGTGGGTGTGCCTGGGCAGGCTTCCGTGCCCCGGTCAATGAGAAGGAAAATCCCTCTCACAGCGTAATTTTAAGATTGTAGTTAGTTTGGCAGGGGTATTTCCCACTAGTGTATGGCATATCAGGTGGGGGATCAGACCATCCCTGGGCTGTATCTTCTCCTGGGACAAACCAGAAAAGCTCTGGAGTCTCCAGTGGGATTGTGTTGCGTTTTACCTGCTGGGAACCTGGTGCGAGCCCACAGATTAACTTGGTTACGCTGTAAGTGAGGTAGTCACTAAGTTCCAAGTATTTCACTGAAGAGAGAGGGAAGCAAAGTATCTGCTGATACTTTAAAATAATAGGAAGGCTATCTTATTTTTGTCTAGTGCATTTGTGTAAACACATAGTGGAGTTCAGCTGAGGTTACCATGGAGGGCTGGATGTGAACGAACACGTTGCCTCTTACAATGCCACTGAAGGGTGTATTGTATCCAGTAGCCCCTCTAGAGCACACTTCAGCTGACTTGTTTGTGATCAGTAAGACCTAGACATAATTTAGACCAAAGTCTACCACCTGCTGTGTTACTAGGAAGCTGCTCAGTATTGCAAGGCAGACTTTTTAAAATAAAATAAAATATCGTTGACATACAATGAAGTTTTTACCACTGATCTGCCAATTTGGAGATGTGGCGTAAACGTTAAATAAATATTTTGGCATGTGGCAAATTGGATCACATCTTCTCTTAATCTGTTTATTTACTTTGCTCATGCCAGGGTTGCCCTCCTCTCACCCTTGTTTTTGAAGATCTCGGCTGTGTGCCTGGGTTTAAGCCAAATAGACAATTACTTGTTGGAAAGAGATGATTTTTTTGAAAGCTTTCCAAGGTCTGTGAGACAGAAACATCTGCCAGAGTTCAAATCTGTAGTACTAAAGACTCGTGGTGGCTGTTTATTCATGATTGTTTGCACATTCACATCACTGTAGAACTCTAAAATACTCAGCTTCTCTGTGATGGAGATATGTCAGCCGCTCTTTTTGCTACAGCAGATCACATTCTTTTACATCCAATTGGCTTACTCATTGCCTTCAGTAGAAATTAAATCTGTTGTAATACTGTGTTATGCTGCTTACTGAAAGCCTTTCTGTTTCTCCTTTTTTAGAAGACAGCTGTTTTATGCCAGAAATGCTACAATGTTAAATTAAAAACATTGTACTATTAGCACAGGAACAAGGAACAGAATGGGGAGCAAACATGATGTTCCATATGAATTTGCAAATGAGACCAGTGCTTTGCCTCAGCAACGTTTTGTCCTGGTTTTTAAGGGACTGAGCATTTCTACTTCCTGTTCAGATTGGCACTTCTGAAAATTGCAGTAGGAAAATTCTTTGCTGGTACAAAAACTTGTGCTTGTTAAGGGGTAAAATTCCAAAGAATTGGAAGTTGAGATGAGCATCCTGTTGTTCAGAGGCTTAGCTGAAGTTTTTCTACTCTATTTCTCTTGATTATCTTGCAAGCATAGCCTTTCTATGTGCTCTGATATTGTTGAAGCTCTGAATATTGCAAAATCAACATTAAAACTATTTCCAGAACTTCTGCTCTTGTCCTTGACTGCTGTCAGGCAACGCAACAGCAGCCTTGATGGTAAGTTGTGAATGACCTAGCGCCAAGGGAGGAGGTGCGTATAAATCAAAGTGCGTATCAGAACAGATGTGATGTGCGATCTCTAGGTAGGGTGAAAGTAAGGAGCGGTAGGTTTTAAGCTAAATTTATTCTGAGGTTGGTATTTTTCTTGTTCTACCTTTGCTTCAGAATGGAGAGCTTTCTGGGAAAACACCTTTTATAGCTTGAATGAGTTTGGAACCGAAGTTGCATCCCACTGAGCAAGATGGAAGCCTGTATGGATGTTCAACCTAGATGTAAATGTGCTAGGCTGCTGAGTGGTGGTACTGTCCAGCTGCACTGAGAGGCAGAGTACGTTCATGTAGGTGGAGTCGTGCTTCTGGCTCCACTGAGGCGCTACGCTGCCTTAGTTGTAACCAGTAACTCTGGTTAGTTGGCCAGCATTTCTTGAGAGCCCTATGACTGACTGGGCAAACTGGGAACAGGGGAAGAACAGCAGCAAAAATGTGCTTTCCCAAGGGTGACGGCACAACAACAACAGTCTAGTCTGGGGTGTCTAAGCTGCCTGGGTGGTTACATGGCAAGTAGATGTCTGTCTGTGCTGCCTATTGAGCGGCTCCTGCCGATATGAGTGTATTGCTGTTAGTACAAAGCTGATCTCTCTCTTTCTCTCTCTCTTTCAGATACAGATGAATGCATGTTCAACAACGGTGGTTGCCAGCATGTTTGTGTCAACACTGTGGGGAGCTATGAATGTCGTTGTAAGGAAGGGTTCTTTCTAAGTGATAACCAGCATACCTGCATCCACCGCTCAGAAGGTACCAGCTACTTCCCTCCAGGCACCAAGCAGGAGTTTTTGATAGAAGCTAACTGCAAAATCTCTAAAACAGCTTCAAAAGTATTTTTAGGTTGAGTTTTTCAAAGCTGTGACGGGTCTCGAAGTCCTCACTCCTTTTAGAAGGAACAGTGTGTCAAAATCTTCTAAGTGACTTTGAGGACTCTTTACATCCCTTCTGCCCCTTTGATCCCACCTGTATGTCTGCAGTGTTGTGCTTGTTAGAGACTGTACTGCAATACTCCCAGTGTACTTTACGCTTTGTTGTGCAGCTAAGCTGCGTCCTGATCCAGGGAATGGCAACAAATTGAAGGACAGTGAATTCTGACCATTTCCATTGGCTTTAGTTACAGGGCAATACCTGCGTTACCTTCAGGTACCTTTTAGATTCCCTGTACAGTGTTTAGGTTTCAGCTAAGAGTTTTATTGTTTGTCAGCCCCAAAAAGTATTCAAGTCACGTTCTTTGTTTTGAGTGAAACCTCTATGAAGCGACCTTTGAGAGATCAGAGAGCCTTGGATATCTAATTAGACATCGGATTGAACAAAATTGTTTTGGGTGCCTTTAGGGAATACTTTAAAGTGGTTGCTCAGATCAGGGAGTTGTCCATTGAACTGTACAGTGAATATCTTACCAAGAAGTATTTAAAGCTGCAAAGCTTTCTTTAATCTATGGCTCATCGTTGGCATGACTGTAAGAAGAATCTGAGCATGAATAAACAAAACTCACTTCAAAAATCCCCATAGTGAAGAGATCAAAATTTATAGACATATGTGGCTATCCACAGATGAGCGTGCTGAGGTGGCTGTCATCTGACGTAGTTGAATTGATCTTTTGTTTGAAATGAGAATTTGTATTCCCAGCTTCTCTGGTACTGGGCTTGGTCTCACCGGGGTCTGCTGATGCATGTCATTTCTCAGGCCATTGCTGAGCCTGCCACTGCAGGAGCTGAGCTGGGAGTGGAGACAAGCAGGAAGGCTGCAGTAGTGGGGCAAGGCATTTCCTTCCGTGTTGTCTCGCTAGCAGTGATGCGTGTTTGTGTATGTGCGTGGATGATGAATGTAAGGATGAAAATCAGTTGCTTGAACTCCTTGTCCTGTCCAATGCCAAGGGAGGAAAAACTTCCAACTCTTTTTATTCTTACTTGCTGCTTCTTGAGCACCTTCTACTCTCCTGAACTAACAGCAGCAGCATTGCCTATCATTAATATTTGTTCCCTAAATTGTACCTTTGGAATTCTACCTTTGTTCTCTTGTTTTTAAAGATGCAGTTAATTTCTTTTAACTTTTTGACGAAGAAGGCCTTTTTTTTCCGTAATACCAAATTTCCACTTAATCTCTTTTTTTTACTTTGAAAAAGAAAAGCAAGAGGGAAAAAAGATTTTTTTTTTTTTTTCCTTAGAACTACTAAATAAAAGCTATTTTTATGGAACCCAGTCTTAAGGTAAAAACCTGTATTGTTTTTGCCTGAAATACTTTTTTCTTCATACTAAAATACAGAAGTGTTTGTTTTGTTTTCTTTAAAAGCCATTTTTTCGGGTTATCATATTGTGACTGTTTCCTTCCTGCCTCCCCTTCATTACTGTGAAGAAGAGCTCCACGGGATTCCCCACTTTTTTCCCTTGGGTGGGCAGATCTGTTGTAAGCCAAATCTCATTGCTTTATTTTTCCCTTCACTTTGTTCTCCGCTTTTCTGCTCATCACTAGATCTTCTGTTCTCTTTCTTGTGTGTGCATCTCACAGTGTATATAATTTATTATTTCTCGAGACCTCACAGCATTGATTGAAACAGCATTTGGCACCTACTGCCTTAGACTATCATTTGGTTTTGCTTCTTATCTGTAATATAAGGGAGTATTTCCTTCCCTGTCTTCTGGTCCAGTTAAGAGAGTGCTTACATTAACGCTTGGGAGAACTTCCTAGTCATCTAGGAAAAAGAGTGATCTGGAGTTGAGATGGGGGAGAGAGAGAGGAGAAATACAGAGGCTTGGGGCTGTTGTATTTCTCCTGATGACCAGAGTAACAGGGGAATCTAAGAGTCATCTGCCCTTCCAAGTCTATTTGCACTTGTCCTCTGGGTTCCCTGTCACCTACTGTGACATGGGACTCAAAGTCGGGTTGCTGTTAGAGGAGAGTTGGTAATTCAAGCTGATTTTTTTATCTGATATGACTGTGTTGATCTGAAGCACCGGGGTGCTCAGAGGGACTTGATGGGTTCTGCCTAGCCTCTGCTTTTAAACCACAGGAGCTCAGTGTGTCTTGGGAAGTTGTGCACAATCCTATTTTTTTTTAGCTTGACTGTCTGCTGTGAATGAACTTATTTGTATGTGGGAGAATGGATCTGCTCTGGGAGGCTGTCACAGTAGCTGGCAGGGCAGCTGTGCACATGTAGCTTGTTTCTGTGTTTAACTTGCTCCATATTAGAGAATATAAAAAAATTAAGGAAAACAATGTTTTTCACAAGTAAATATGTAGTACATCTTGTGGTTGCGACTGCTGTGGATGACAAATCTTGCTACTGTCCCCTCCCTTGTGGTATTTCACAGTCATGGCTATCTGCTTGTTGGGCTGAATCAATGGGAGTGAATTGGACCTGCAAGATGAAAGCCACATTTAAAATCCCTGTGTGGACTGAAGGCTTGTACGCAGGGAATCATCTCAGCTGTTGCTCTTAGAGTCCTTCTGACTGTGGAGAACAGTGATAACCAGAAAGCTTTTTGGAAAAAGTTGCCATAACACAAGGATGTAGAAAGCATGAAAAAGAGATGAAAGCATTCCTGGGATGTCCTGTTCTGCTGGCTGTGCTGATGCTCCTCACCCTTTGGCTGTTAGAGAGTGCCCCTGAGAATCTCTGGTGGTTCTTTGTACAGTTGCATCCTCTCCCTCTGTCCTGTTGGGTGCCTGTTTAAACGTGCCCTAAATGAACCTAAACGTTCTTAGCAGATTGGTGGTGATGTCCCTATAGCTTCAGAATAAAAAAGACAAAGATTTAAACATAGATTATATGTGTAAGAGATTAATTTAACGTGATCTAATGGGGAAATATTGTGCTGGCTTTTTGCCTGTGTCTTGCCAGTAACAGGAGCGCTCAGATCTCGCTGAAATTTGCTGGGTAACTTCGTGAAGGTCCAGTCCTCAGAAAGGACTAATCTCCTTGGGGTCCACTAGGCCAGGCAGACGCTGGATTCAGCTCTCTTGGCTGTGAGTGTGGTGATCAAGAGACTCATCCATCCAAGAGACTTGTGTGTCAGTAAGGCAGGGTCTCCTGCAAGAGGAATTATGTTTCTGGGAAGCGTGTGGTGGAATTTGACCTAAAGTTTTTTGGGGGTTAGTTCTGCACCGTGATCTGCCATTGCAACAGCTCTGGAACAATGGGACCTGGGAGACTTTGTGTCCATGAAGGAGCTTGCAGTCACATAGCATTTACGGCTTTACAGACATTTCTTTCATACAACCTTATAAAATGGGACTGAGGAGAAATCTACCTTTGGAAACAAGCAGCAGCTTTGTGGTAAATGCTAGAATGTGTGGATGTATGTATCTTCTATGAAACACTGTCTTTTGTACAGCTAGATTTTGGTGGATTTGGTCATGTACCTTGTTACACAATGGGTACTTTGTTATTGAAATGTGCCCTGGTTGGGGAAGTGCAGTTTTAGCTTTCTATGGAGACCTGATTGAATTCTGCTTACTCAGAATGGAGCAATCCCAAATCAAGCATTTAAACCATTTGTCTGATGTCGGTGAACTTTACCAAAGTACCTCCTTGAACAGTTTCCCCTTTGGTAGCTCAGTCGAGACAAGAGGAGAACTTTGTTAACAGAAACTAAGCAGCTGATTCTCAGACACCTCAGAGCTAACAGACCAAATCATATTGCATGCTTAAGAACAGAAATGTCACAAAAACCCAAGAGTTAATGAGGCTAATTTGTGACCTCATAGGTTGTCTCATTCCTTGACTGACAGCACAATAATGGATGACAGCTTTCATGTGGGCTCCTTGGATGGTGCCTGTGTGCTGCAGGATTTGAAGTCATTGTCTTGTTAGACTTCTACAGAGTCCTCACTGTGAGAAAGGAATCCAAAAGCCAGTAGAGCAGAATAATCTAGGCTCTGCAATATCCATTCTTTTGTTACTTAAAGCTGTCTTAATAGAGAAAGGGTACTGTAGCTTGTGCTTCAGATGGCGAGAATAGTCGTGTGCAGAGCAAGGACCTAATTGAAGTGTAGTGGAATAATGGTGACGAGCTGGCCTCTGCTTGCCAATACAGTGGTTTTGTTTCATTTAGTAGTAAGGCTGCAAAAAGGGCTGTGTAAATTTAAAAAACATATAGGATGTGGAATTGTTCACACCATCTCTTTTCAGCAGCATGGTCACCCTTTTCATTCCTCTCTGATTGTGCATCTGCCCAACTCAGTGGAAGTTCACTGAGGTAATATATGGAATAAGCCCTTGCAGCCAAAGTATGCTTCGCTTAGTCTTCTCAAGTGAAGTGTTCTTACCAAGAAGAAAGAGCGTTTTGGTGTAACATGTCTTTTAAAAGCCAAATGCACAAAAGCAGAGAATTTGGTGGCAAAGGTGTGTTCTCTGTATAGCTGAGGAGAGCATTCATTTGCCTTCTCTTCCAGTTTTGTACCACTATAGAATACTTCAGAAAAAAAAATCTGTGGTGTACTGTTAGAAGGAAAACTATTCTTTTAATTTGGTCTAATGATCCCATTTGATAAGTCAGTCAGCTGCTGTGTAGTTTTAAGTTGTGCGTGTACAAATCGATTTAGCTGAACCATGGGGCAAGGTGAAAGAAGTTTTTACAATAATTCTAGGAACCGTTCCTCCCTGTTCAATAGACTTTTAACTTTTTACAAAGGCCAGACAAGGTGCTCTGACAGTCGTTGAGTGCTGGTGCATGAACAGCTTGTAACTGTCTTGACAGGATGTTTTTAGGAGGTGCACCAAAAGGAATAAAATCAGTAGGGTCACATTGCTTTTTCATTTGGTTAAAGCAGACACTGGCACTAAATTCTGTCCAGCTGGGAAGGTGTATAGAAATACAGAACACTGTGATAATCCCCAGTGGGGTTATTTTGGGAGGTATTTCTTGAAATCAGAAAAAAAAAAAAAAAAAAGAAAACAAAATGGTTAACAAAAAAGAGAATTGACATACAGTATACACACAATCCGCATGTCTGCCAGGTCACCACTTGATCACTACTGAGGTAGGTTATGACTTTGGGAATCTGCTTTGTAGGCCAGTAATTGAAATAGGGATGAGTTTTGTGACTGTTGGACTAGGTAGTCCTGTGGCTGGTGGCTGCTCTTTTAAGCAGAGAAATGAGAACTTCACTTTAGGCTTTGACCTTGCCAGGTATCAGCCACCTTGCAATTTTTGTAAAAGAAATGAAGAGGTTATATAAACACTGGTATAAAGTGAGAGCATTGGATGAGAATGCAGATGCTGTACAGGCCTAGGGATGTTGCTTTTTGACCTTGCAGTCAAAGAACATGGGCACAGAAAAGATTGCAGATGGAGAAACCTTGGGGCCATTGACTTTGCAGATTGGACTTTCTGCCTTTCCTGTCTGTAAGCTTATACATCTTGTCCTAACACCGCAGAGTCTTCCCAGAAGTAGCAGGCTGTTGTCTGTGTGTGTGTATTGCACTGACTTTATTTGACTGTTGCCTGCACACAGAGATGCTGAGGATGCTGATACTCTTACACTTGTCCTGTTTTGCAGAAGGCATGAGCTGCATGAATAAAGATCATGGCTGTGCCCACATCTGCAGAGAAACACCCAAAGGAGGAGTTGCCTGTGAATGCCGACCAGGATTTGAACTGTCCAAGAACCAGAGGAGCTGCATTTGTATGCAACATTCTGCATATGCTTATGGTTTCCCAAAGTGAACAAATAGTGTTCTGTTTGCAGTGATATGGGATTTGGTATGTTATAGCTAAACTGGGGTGACACACCTAAATTGTGTGCATTTGAATTAAACTAGAATCAGTGGCTTTGCTGGACACTATCACACTAATCTGTTGGTTGCTACAGTATCTGTAGTTTGGGAGTTGTGCCATCATTCATGATGACAGGAAGTTTAGCTCCACAAGAGAGCTCTGCAGTGTCTCAGTCTCAGGGAGTTCTTCAGGAAAGGGACATGTTAGCAAGGTGTATTGGGTGGTCAAATGGAGACAAAATTACACTGTCTTTCAAAGATGCTGGAAGTACTTGTGAGATGTAACATATTTTCTTCCTAGTAACATGTAATCATGGAAATGGTGGCTGTCAACATACATGTGATGATGCTGATAATGGGCCTGTTTGTGGATGTCACCCCAAGTACATCATGCATGTGGATGGGAAAACCTGCCTGGGTCAGTATACCGTCGAGGGAAGTAGCTTTCTGTCGATGACTAACTCTAGAGTGGTGTGACGTTGCTGTGTGTGCGTGATTAATGCTCTTCATAATAGCATGGCTAAAAAATGTCAAGAAGTCCAGAACTAAGAAACCTGCTAGTGCATGAGTGAGTTGGTTGGATCCAGGCAACTTACACTTCCCAGTGTAAGTAGCTACCTAATATTACTGCAGCCTGTAATTATCACTGGTCTCTCTGAAGCACAAGGCCTGTCACTAAACCAAGAGGATTCCCTTCCCTCTAGGATATTTCAGGTTCAGTTTCTTGTGTAGCATGAGCCAGAGTGTAACCAAGCAGTATGTCTGTTGAAACTAGAACTCTGATTTTGATCAAAGTATAATTTTTGCAAGGCAGTAGTTATCCAGTAAAGAAAGCACTAAAGATTGATCAACTCTTGCAGTCTCTGGAAGAGTTTGTTGTCTGTTGATTGAAATCAAATGCTCAGGCATAACTGGCTGGTCCTTTTATTAATCTGTGATAGATAATGACAATGTGCTCTTAACAGAACAGTTCATGACAGTTCGATTAGTTGCTTCATCTTGTTGCTGTTCACTACATCTGTAGCACATCTTCTGTTTTTTTAAGAATACTGAAGCAAACATGAATTGTAAGGAGACAACAAAAGCAAAGTATTCTCATGGTTTTGACTGAAGGGTCTTCATGATTTTCATTATTACTTTCTTTTAAAAAAAAAATTGTTTCTACCTGGTCAGTTCCAACTGTCTCTGATAATTAAGCGTGCAATGCAGCTGTGTATGTATTTGATGTCAAATGAGACTTCTGGTCAGGGCACCTTTACTCATTTGCTTTTTTCACATTCCTTACAGAGAGAGAAGAGGCTACTGTTGAAATTTCCGAGGGAAACACTACAGCAGGAGCTGATGTGGACAAGAGGGTGAAGCGACGGTTGCTTATGGGTAAAAGTGCTTATCCAAAATAATTTTGGATTTCTGTTTGCTGAAACCTTTTAGTTTGAAGAATTGTGGTGGGTTTTTTTTATTGTAACCATCATAGCTCTGGGCTGAATTCAGCCTGAGATGCTCCACTCCCTTTTAAGGAAATTATATGGTTCCATAATGCATAAAAACTATGTACATTGTTTGTGACAGTCAGTAGGAGGTGTCAGGAACTTGCCCTTGAAGTAGTATATGTTTCCATGGTTCTAATTCATCATGGGAATGTAGTACAATCCCTTCTGTGCTACAGTTTCAGCCAAGTGATTGTGGAGGAAGCAGTGTTTTACCTGCTTCTCTTCAATTGAAAGTATTTTTCTGCATGGAAGAGAATTGGGCCCAGTGGTGTACTGCATCTAGAAGGACATGTTAGGATACAAGGCCATCTTATTCTTCCTAAAGATGTTCACATCTGGCCCAGAATGCCAGCCTCTGAGAGTTTGTCACTACTGGGAAGGCACTGGCATGAGAAACAGTCCCTGTGGTCTCAGGGCAGCTGGGTCAGTGGATGTCCGCCTCAAAAGCCCTTACTCCAGGCAGTCAGGGTGATTTACTGTACTTATTGGCATTTGCCACAAAAGTAGCATGGAGGCTGAGGAAGAAGCTACCAAAAATGTAGGGCTAGCTCTGAGCTCCTGAATCCATACTTAGACATCTAAATGAATAGCCTCATTTTCAAAAAAAAAATGACGTTTCTGTGGAAAGAAGGAGGAAGAGGCACTCTGTCTTCATGTGGAGGTTGGACACAGCCTCCCAATATTGAATGTGAGACAAGAGACTGGGAGAGTATCAACCAGTAAAGGTCTCAAAACTTGAGAATAAGTAGCATATGCTTGATGATGCAGAAAACTGGGAAACAGAGCTAGAAAGGGAGGATTTTAAAAAGCAGACATAGAAAATGATCTTTGCAGCTCCCTGAATCAATCTGTGCTCGATAAAATTGCATTTATCTGGCCAGTAATAAAGGTTGTTAGAGTGATTGAGGCAGTTAGACTGACTACAAGAGGATGAATGCCAAAGAGTGAGTTATTTCTTTTTAGTTGAATGTGAAGAACTGTACTTTAGGGATGTTTGCTGGAAAGGTTTGGTGAGATTTGGGCTTAATTTGCATAGGGGGAAGTTCGAGGAACATTAGGTTGAGATGGCACCTTGGTTACAAGCCTGATGGAGTGCTCAGTGTGGGTGTAATCCACCATGACTGGGAGCACAGGTAGCGTGTGAAGATGTGTTGGGAAGGATTTAAGAAAACCAGTTTAGTAGTGCTGAGTCAGTGTGACTAGGTGTCTGAGTATTGGTGGGAAGTGTCAGAGGATCAGCCAGGACTGAGTGAGGGCATAAGGATACAGACCGACAGGAATAAATTCATCATTAAGGAGCAGGGATTTGTGTTTCAGTACGAGAATATCCAGAGAGAGTATCTCAATTTGTAGAGTCTCTGCAAAAAACTGGACATAGCTGAGGCAAGGATTTTGTCAACACATGTGTTTAGTAGTTGTTCATGTGGTTGAATAGCAGTGTGCTTGGAACCGTGCATGTATCACATGGTATTTCTTGTTACCATTATAATATCCCTGAGCAAACTTCAGCTTTATCTTGTTGGCTAGAAACGTGTGCAGTAAATAATGGTGGCTGTGATCGTACATGTAAAGATACATCGACCGGAGTTCACTGCAGCTGTCCTGTTGGATTCACGCTCCAGTTTGATGGGAAGACATGTAAAGGTAAGTGGACATGGATGTACCAACACCTTACTGTAAGGTATTCATCTCCAAATGAAGGTAATCTGGTGTCTAGAGGAAAGACAGTATGTGTAATCTGACCCAAGAAAGGACTGCAGCCAGGGGTAGACACAGTTTCCGTTGCATCAGGTGCACCATGTGCACAGAATGTCTTCTGCGCCACCCTCTCTCTCACCACTTCCACTCCTCCTGCCAAGATGGCCTCATTTTTCACAGGTGAGATTTGGTAGGAGGTAATACCGGTCTGTGGTAAAGTAAAGGTCAGTACTGGGAGAGGTAGGCGTGTAGATTCTTATAGGCATACAATCCAATAGCCTGCTATTTTACCCACAGGTAGCTGGGTATTAGACCAGTTTTTAAGCAAATATCAGTGTGTAAACAGGGATGTGTGAGTAGAGATACTTATACTGGTCCAAGCAGCTCTAATGAGAGTACTGGAAAGGAGCAAAGGAACATTTAGGTTGTATATTAGAATACATTTTGCAGTAATTAGATGTTAAGACTGTTCTGCTAGTCAAAAATTATGGAATCCCCATGCCAGAGTCAATTAATATTAGCTAAAGAACTCATTCTAATATTGGCAGAAAAAGCCTCCTCGTCTGAGATTTCTGCAGAGCTTGGGAAGAGGAAACAGAGACAATGTTTAAAAAGCTAAAATCTATTAGAGAGTGTTTAAGTCAAAGCATTTCCAAACAGAACTTAGAGAAATGGTCTTTTGTGAATACACGTACCCAGATGTGACTGACAGCAGTATGTTAGATGAAAGCAAATAGCACTGTCATGACCAGACATGAATGGGCCAGATCGTTCTTAAGAGCTGGATCTGATCTTCCTTAAAATTTGTAGTGGTCTCACTAGGTTTTGTTTCTGGGCTTCTCTAACCATTTGGACGTGACTGTTTTCTGGATCTGGCAGTGGAAGTACATTGAATGTACTGTGTTTATTTGCTGAAGCGCTTTTTTTTGTTACAGATATTGATGAATGCCAGTCCAATAATGGAGGCTGTGATCATTTCTGTAAAAACACTGTTGGCAGTTTTGATTGCAGCTGCAGAAAAGGATTTAAATTATTAACAGATGAGAAGTCTTGTCAAGGTATGTGCACTGGAGAGGTAATAGAAGTAGAACAAATCGGCATGGCTTGGACATCTACAATGATGAAGTGATAATGGACTCCAGAATAATTTCCATGCCTCAGTTTTGTTTATTTTCTTTCTGAAACAGCTGTTGAGTTAATACAGTTGGCTCGATACTGTTGTAGGAGGTATGTTTAATGGCACAGTGAACTATTATCTGGGAGCGACAGAGATAGCATCATATAAAAAAGGTCTTTGTGAGGATAATGCTTCCCCTCACCCTTCTGTTAATGATCTTAAAATAATTTACAGGGAAAATTAAACAATATCTCTCTGTCCATCTTACTGACTAGTTCACCATTGCAGTGAAATTATTTTTTCTTGATGGGACATATAGATTCCATGAGTTCATTATTTAAAGAAAAAAAATATAACATGTGGTCTGTGAAATTATAAGCCTGTAGACAGACTGGAATCAATTTTCCCTAAAACATCATAGAGCATCTGATTTTTAGGATAACATGGATTTCTCCTGTGAGTCTTACAAAACGTATTTGAGTTTCTGTATAATGATTTGTACATATAAAGTTAGTAATCCTGTTTAAGCTGTTTAAATACATTGAAATGTAAGGATCAAAATGCTCTGTGTTTTTGGAAAAGCTACAGTATGAAACAATGTAAAGCCAATCAGCCAGCTGAGGAGGTGAATTATTCCATTTCCTAGACAACCAGCTGACCTTAATGATGAATTTCAGAAAGCTGAACTGATCAACAGAAAATAGTTTTCACCTGAGTTTTTGGTGTATTCTTATTCTTTTTAAATCAGACAAAGAAGGACAAGTATTTATATAGAACATACTTAGTATAAAAAATAAGGTAAGATTTTCAAGATAGTTGTGGTTTTGTTTAGTGGAATCTGTTTATGAATGTATTTTAAAGACTTGCATCTCTTTTGTCCCTGTCACTTCCGTTACTTTCCCTAGATTGTTTCAAAAGTGATACCTTGAAGGATGCCAAAGCTTGAGAAAAAAGAATGATGTAATGTGTCAGTGATATTCATGTGAACTTTTTTGTGTCTTTTGAACTTTCTTACATGGCACGCATAGTGTACTAGCACAGAAGTTGCAGGTGGTTTTGATGGTATGATAAACATTCAGGGCCTCAGAAAGTGATGGGAATTTTGCCATTTTACCATTCAATTCACTGAGATCATGATAAGGCTATTATACTAACTGGACTTACAAAGATGTTTTCAGAGTGAATGTAATGCCAAGGAAAACTTTCACTGGACAAAACAGGTATCTCAGCAGCTTTTAGTGACAGACATTGAAGTCTAAATGTACAGTAGAATGAATCCGTGGAAAAATTCACCAAATTATTCCAGTCATCTGTCTTCAGGTGTATCTCAGAGAACATGGTGATTTTCAGCAGACTTAAATCAGGCACTGCTTATTCATTTGCACTTAGAAATGTGGCCGTTGCTTTCGTTTATGTAGTAAAACCAAAGGCAATACTTTCTTTTATAAATCTATTTCTGCAGACCTTATGTAGACTTTTCTTAATGAAATCAGAATTTCATCAGCATTTTTTTTATCCCATAAAGGAGAAATAATTTGTTTTAAACGTAATTGTTAAAAAATGTAGCAGCAGTTTTCATGTTTGCCAAGAAAAAGCTTGTTTGGCAAACTAATTGTTCCTTTAAAAGTTGTCATTTCACTATGTTACATTATTTGCTTTAAAAGAATTTGCTTAGTTTACATAAATCTGCATGTTTCTGTCCAACTTTGTTAGCTCATCAGTGCTCCCTTGCCAGGCTGAAAGATACTGATGTATCCCTTTAAAACTTGCAGACATTGATGAATGCTCTTTTGAGCGGACGTGCGACCACACGTGCATCAATCATCCAGGCACCTTCGAGTGTACTTGTAACAAAGGATACGCGCTCTACGGCTTCACGCATTGTGGAGGTGAGTGATAAAAAAGCACTGCAGGCCATGCTGGTGGAGTGCTGTTGCCACAGGTCTAATTAGTGTCTGTGCAAGACACAAGCCTGTGTATATGCAGTAGATGTATAGAGTAGATTTTACTCTTTGCCATGATAAGGAGGCACAGCAAAAGTAGAAACTGATCCTGCTCAGTTCCGTCGTCGCTCAAATGGTTTTCTCTTCTCACCCTGCATCCAGAAAGCACCTGTGACTATTGGAACAAACTAATGCATTTTGCATCTGGATATGAAAGCCATAATTTGTTAGATTTTTTTGCATGCAGAAATCTCGTTGACTTCAGAGAAAGGTCAGTGGAATAGGTCTTAAAGAACAGGAAGCTGTGAATGACTTAGAAGATTACAGTTTTGCAGGTTGCCTTTGTGCATATGTCAGATCCTCATGTGATGGAGATTGGAATTTAGCTGGTGTAGTACCACTGATTTACATTGGCCAAGATTAAGTCTCTTAAATCTTTTACGCCTTTCTTACAAGAAAAGTTCAAGGAAAGAGAGAAGGATGTTCACAAAACCTCAGCATGTGTCAAGTGTGAATATTTCTCCAACGAAATCCCAGAATTAACATAAGGAATAACTGGACACTAAATAGAATTAAACCTGTTTTATGTAAGCTCTAGGCAAGACCTTATTGACTCCGTGTGCTCACTTAATTCTGAGTAAGACCTATTTATTTCTGAGGCCGAATGAGCACACTTGAACTTGGAGATAACAATTCAGAGATCTCTGTGTGCCTGATGTGTTGTAACCTCTGCCTCTAGAAAGTCTGCAAAGAAGATTACAGGGGTACAACATCATTGTGTTTTATCCTGATGAACGGGGAAGCCTGTCTGGATGGGGAGTAACACTGTTCATGTGTTCTACTTGCTAAAAGAAGTCTGTTCTCATGAATTCCTCTGCATTAATTTAATTTCTTTTGGCCACCTGTGAGGGGAAGGAATTGTAATTTTGCTATTGGCTGCTAATTGGCCTCTTCATGGCATACTCCTGTGCAGAAGATGTTAATCCCTGTTAGTCTTTCATTTACTGGCAGTCACACGCTGTGTCAAAGCTGATGGGGATACTGAGTATACACCTTCTGACTTATATGGAAGAAGTCAGTAAGTGCTGAAGATAATAGGTTGCCATTGCATGCAGCGTCCCAACAAAGGTCGATGAAAACCAAAGATTCAGGCCAATTCTGTGGTATCTTAGGAAGCAGTACCAATTTAAGGTGTTCCCATCTTTCTCCATTATTCCTCTGCTGCTCATTCCTACCCCTACTGTCTCATTTCTGTTAGTAGCATGTTTTTCCCCTGAAATCTGCTCAGTTTTGTAATCTGTTTCACAGTGTTTTCTACCAAATTTTTACCCATCTATGGTGAGGAACAAACGGTTGGGGAGAGCAGTGATAAGAACTTACTACTACTATTGAGAAAATTGTACGTGGAAGTGGGTACCCTCAGTTGCACAAATTTTCTGGGTCTCATAAGAGATTTCTTGATGGCAGCTTTCTAGGTTTATATATAATTGCCATAAAGCTAATGGAGACAAGTGAAGCAGTCATCAGGGTGGATCTGAGAAGCAGAGACACAGAACTTTGCATTTTCCTTTTGTTGAAATTCATGAGATTCCTGTCGGCCCCTTTCTCCAGCTAGTCAAGGTCTCTCTGAATAGTGGCACAACCATCTGGTGTATCAGCCACTCCTCCTAGTTTTGTATCATCTGCGAACTTGCTGGGGTGAACTCTTGTCCCATCATCCAGGTTTAATGAAGAGGATAAATAGCATTGGCCCCAGTACTGACCCCTGGGGTACACCACTGGTGAATGATATGTTCTGCATCCGCATGCAAGTTTGCACCAAAGGCAGTATGTTGTGTTGTCAGTAGTTTCTCCTATTGGTATTTATTGGGCGCGGCAGGGCCCTCAAATTGGATAGTTGGCCAAAAGGGACAACGATGATACAGTGGTCTTATTTGCCCACAGGGAGTCAAACGGTGTTTCATGGCAGTTGTATCTATCTGAGCGCTTTGGAGGATTGATCAGTATGAATCTTGTCCATGTCGTCTGTCTTTATTCCAAATTAGAAATATTAATTAGTTAACCAGACACAGCACAATGCAGACTTATTTGGTCTCCGTTTCTTTAATTTGTTATCATATTTCTGAGGCTGGATATTTTTTTAATTATGTGATTTAAGGACATAACTAACATCTCCCCTCTGACAACATTTGATCTGTTTTGACATTTATCAAAGGATTTCCATGAAAACAAAACTACCTCAAGGTGGATGTCCAGATAGCCTTCCTAAAATCTTTTCCAAACCCTGCTAAGCAGTATTTGTGTGCGTATTTACCCGATGGAGTTACAGTACAGAACTTTGTCAAGAGTAACTTTTAAAAAGTATTTTTACTTTCCCTCTGTAGATATTAATGAATGTAGCGTCAACAATGGTGGTTGTCAACAGCTGTGTGTGAACACGCTGGGAGACTATGAATGCCTGTGTCACTCTAACTACAAATTACACTGGAATAAAAAGGACTGTGTCGGTAAGGTGCCTAGTTGAATACATTTCTACTCCCGATGTGTCCTTGGCCATGTGGTTATAGTCAAATCTGAAAATCTTTATCTGTCCAGTTAAGTGGTATGAGTCATCGTTCCTAGTATTCCGCTTTATGTTTTAGGCAGGCATGATGGGACTGATGTTGAAACTGGTAAAACCAAGCAAAAACCCCCAAAACAGGAGATACTTTGAGGGATTTTGGTGCTTTCTTTCCTGTGCTTTTATCTAGCTGATTCTTCTGTTTCCTTTTGTTTCTCTGCATGAGAAGGTTTGCTGATGACAGCTTCACCTGAAGGAAAATTACTGATGTCGTGTGATCTTCCCATGATTTCATTTTGCTTTGATTTTCTGTCTAAACAGCATATTAATTGCATGGGTGCTCTCAGGTATCAGCTACAAAAGCAGCTGTATGCTGATTTATTAGTAGAGTGTATGTAGGTGTTTTACTTCTGTGAGTATTTGTTTTATCCTGTTTAGAGACAAAGGGTCCCTTGCCTGATAGTGGCTCACCCAAGGTATTGCTGCACTGCATTAAGAGTGGTGGGAGCGATAGATGCTTCTTAAGCTGCTCTTCGGATGTCCAAGTATTTTCTGGTAGGTCAAAACCAACAAAAACAAGCATATGATTCTGTAGAGAGTAGCAAACTTCCTAGCTCTTATGGAAGCCCCAAGAAGTAGACAGTCAACAGGGACCTTTCCTCTTTGACTATAGATAATATAGGGCCGTATCCCTGTCAGTGTCCCAGGAAAGCCCCCCTTTCCCTGTCTTTTATAACCACTCTACCCTCAGATTCCCTTCTCATGACAACTGTCTTTTTGAAGCTGAGGAGGACAGGGCAGAATTCTCTGTGCTCCCTGGGCCATTCCTTAATTGGCCCTGAGAGCCGCTGCTGAATGGGACGAAGGCATTCCAGCCCTGCGTGGGGTCTGAGATTTTGCCCAAACAGCCCCTCCACCCCACAGGATGCAGCATGCAGACTCGGCTGGTGCTTATGGGGCAGATGCTGCTTTTCTGCCTGAACCCTTTAAATTGCTTAGGCAGAGACAAGCTGTAATGTGGAGTATTTTATGAACCACGTTGTTGAAAAAGGTGAAGATGATGATGCCGATCAACAAATTAAAAATATCTTTTATACTACAGGAGTCTTCAGTCTGTGCATAGTGCCTGTGTCTTTACTGTCTGTCTGGTCTGTCTGTTAGGAACACAAGATGCCTACACCCTCACCTGTGGCAGGTCATCTCAGCTTAAGAAAAAACAGCAAAATACAAATGCATCCAGCTGGCTGGGTAATCACTAGATTTACTGTTGCATAATTTGACTGATTTCTTTTAATAAATTACTGTGAAATAAGGATGTTTCTGTTAACTTTCTATTTTCCCTCTCCATTATACTCCCTCTGTTTTTTCTTCCTTTTCTTCATGATTGCAGCTCATGATTACAGCAGGAAATTCCCCTTGTACTGCTTCATCAGCATCACTCAAACTAAGACTTAAAAATAAGAAACAAGAAAAAGATCAGTTGTGAAATAAAAAAGCTAGGCCAGGAGTGTCATGCCTCTTTTTAAACATCCAAACTGGACAGTGTTGGCAACATACAGTATGTTTTGGTTGAGCTGTTGGACAGTAAAGTTTAGAAAGCATTGAAAGCTAAACAGATAAGAGATGCTATTTTATATAGACATAAACTACTTTCAGAACTGCTTTTGAGTGTCTCCTTTGATTTCAGCTAACCTTTATCTGATTTAACCAATAGCAGATGTGGACTTGATATCTTTTTTTTTTTTCTTTAAATAAAATCTGCCTTGTTCCAATTCCAGTTGTGAACCAGCTTCACAGCAGGAAGAAGCTGAAATCTCTTTAGGTTGTCTGTGATGACTGCTTTTTCACTTTATATCAGCACATTTTTTGATGTAATCATTATGATGTGACATTAGGGTTATCTAAATTTTCTATTTCTTTTTTAAAATAAAATGTCATTATTTCTTCCTGAAGATACTTCAGCCATCAAGATAAGCGTAACCTTTAAATTAAATGAAGGAAAATGTAGTTTGAAAAAGACTGAGACGTTTCAAGAAGGTCTGGAACAGATGATACCAGGTATGAATATAAAAATGCAGGTAAGCAGGTTAGAGCCATAGCTCAGGGTTATTGAGTGCTTTCCAGACATTAAGTACACCATAAGCAAAGCATAGAGTACTGCAAACTTTCTTCTCTTCACTGACCTCGTGAATCACACTCCTTCCCAGCCGTGATTCTTGCAACGATTATTTCAGATCACGGGAATTCTGTGTGACAACCTTGCAGTCTTGCTAGGAAAGCCCCTGTCCTGTTTTGTTTTTACCACTGCCAATAGATTCTTAATGAAATCAACCATTCTTTTCATTCTTTTGATTTCTTCCTTTCCTTTCTCTCTCTATCCTTTCTTTTGGTCCTTTCCTTTCTCACCTGCTCCTTACTGTCTGATGCCTCAGTGAAGAATCTCCTGGCCTTTTATACTGACTCTATTGCCAAAGGGTTATCCCACTTTTCTCTTGTCTTCCTTTTATACTTCAACAGCCCCAGATGGACACAGTGAGGTCAGCTCTTCCATCTGTTCCAAGGCAGAAAGTACAGCCTGGAGATTTACAAAGTCAGCAGAAAATGAGGAGAAGTATATTTCAACTGAGGGGAAAAAAAAAAAAAAAAAGGAGCTGGGGGAAGAAGTCACTAAACAATATGATGAGTCAGCATGTCAATTTGTTTGTCCTTAGAAGAGTAACAGTGAGAAACTACACTTTAGATGCTCAGTGAAGAGTTATATACTCCAGACCCAAAGCTTATTCTTGAGTGCTTTCTTTAACTAAATTTTATTTCCTCCTTGAAACCTTGAAAATAGTCTCCAAATGTCCTGTGTATGCAGCCACTACTTAATTTAAACACCATTATAAGCTAAAATGTTTTTCACATGCTTCATACGAGCACAAATTTTTTTCCTTTGAGTAGCCTGCCTGATGCAGGCAGTGTCATGATTTTAAGATGCTTTGCGTAGTGCGAAGGCAATTCATTAGAAGCTGCTAGTAAAACCCAGGGGAAGCGGGCTGAGCACTGCAGCCAGGCTCTCATCCTAGCAGGGAATCGTGACCCACTGCAGCGCCAGAGTCTCAGCCCGACAGTACATCTGTAGGTGCACTGGAGTCATGATTCTATATGAGGGTGTGCCAGTTGAGAAACTGGCCAAACTGTTTGTTTACTGGCATGTGGAGTTGATCATTTGCTCCCCTTTAACTCTTCATGACTACGTATGTGCTGAGCACTAGTGAATGTTCAATAACATAGCTGGCCAAGCTTTTGCTTCCTTTAATTTTGTTCATACAGAGAGACATAATTCAGTAATGGAGAGCTTCCACTATGTAAACCTAACATGCAGCTCTGGCAAGAAGGTTCATGGAGCCCTCAGTAGACTGACAGCAACTAGAGAAATTTTTATCACTGCGGACTTTGAGCTTGAAACAAGCCGAAAGGAGGTGACAGGTTGGTTGGAAAATAATCCAAGGTGCGATTTGAAGCTTCTTGCTGTTTGCTTCTTAATTTCTGTATTTTTCACTTCTATCTGTATGCAGAATGATAAAAAAGTATCTCCTGTTTTGAAAATGAATTTTACTGCTTCAAAAAGAATGAGAGATGGGGATAGCTCCAAAGATCAGAGCTGCCCATAGATTAAAGTCTTGTGGTCTGATTAATTTTCTTCTAGCCTGGTGGTGTTGACCGTAAGGATTTCAGACTTGTTCACAGAAGTTGCTTTCTCAGTGATTTGTGTTGGTTTTTTTGAACTGAGTGGATTTTTGTGCATGGTCACTTACAGCAGCTTTCACCCTTGATACTTTTCAGACACGTGTGATGTGCGCTGTGCTCGGAAAAAGACTGAAAAGAGGTTCCGTAAAACCATTCGAACCTTACGGAAGACAGTCAGCAGGGACCAGTTTCGCGTTCGAGTCTCTGGCATGGACCACGAAGTGGCTAGAAAGTCTCTCAAGCTAGAGCCGCAGCAGTCTTGTGGTGTAGGGCAGATGCATGTGGGTAACAGATGTGGTAAGTAAATCTGAATTAGGAGTGACCCATCAGATGTGTTTCACTGTTTTGCTTAGGTCTGGCGAGCTTAGGATTGTGCGATGCTTTTCCAGGAGAGAGGAGGGCTACGTGTGAAGAAGTAGGGGTTACTTTTTGTGCTACTGAGATACACGTCTCTATGTATTTATTGTTGGAAGTGGCTGTGTTACAGAGTAAGGGCTCAGTGCATTGCACTTTGTCAATCGTTGATGCACAGCCTACAGCAAGCTCAAAGGTAGAAAACGTGGGAGTAACATCAGGCACCAATGGCCTTGACATCACCAGTGTTGTTTTTAAGACTAGGTTTGATATCCAGTGTAACACTGTGTTTCTGAACTTGTGAACGTTTCCTGTCTTCCTGGTTCCAAAGAAAAGGCTGAGCAGAATTTGATACAGTCACATTCTCTTTGCTGATTAAGCTCTGAGTCCCAGAGAATCTTCGTGACGGAGTTATAAATTTATGGAGAATAGGGGTTTTATAGGCCAGTACTGAGAAAAATCTTAATTATCAAGGCACTGGAGGGCACCACCATAATGTAGCCCATAATAAATGCTTCCAAAGCACAAAAGTTAAGGAAAGGGGTCAGATGTTATCTTAACAGGAGCCTAATAACCATGACGGCTCATTCAGGCTGCATAGGGTAGGCAGCATGTAGGTGGTTTTGTGAATCAGCAAGCCTTTAAAATGCTTGTCAGATTGAATTAGTACGTCTGCCAGCAGCAACCCATTCGGACTCAGAGTAGATTTTTCCAATCTAGTTTTGCTAACTCTGGAAAAACTTGGATTCATAGAATAGAAAAATGAATTGATGTTGTTTAAAACATCTGCGCAAACAAGGAGACTAGGGAATTATGCAGGAATTCTGTCGGAAAAGGCTGTAAGTTTTATTTTTCTTTATTGGTAACATTGTATTAAGTCTGGAAAAAACTTTGGAAAGTTTGCCAAGATGAGTTTATGTGGATGTTTTCAAGCTGTTGTGTTGGATGCTGGAGGAAGACTGTCTCAGTCTGTTGTACAGAGCACTGTATGGCTTTGAAGCCATTTGTGATTTCATCTGGAAAAAATAGCAATGAGTAAGCTAAAAATACGGCAGGTAAAGAAGGCAACGTGAGTTACAATTAGGAACAACAATGAAACAAAATTTTTTTTAGATGGCTGCAGAACCAGTTTAATTTCTCATTACAAATTTAGAAGCTTACATGGCATTTCTGTGATAGTTCAGAGAGAAAGAGGGCTTTGGGAGAATGCCTGGAAAGCTCTTTGGTATGGTGAGCACAAATAGCCTGTCCATGGTTGAAACAGAGTCACTGAGTGTAGGAAGGCAAACGGTTTGAAGAACAACTTGTAAAAGTCAAGCCTCTGCCATTGCTGAATTGGTGCCACGGTTTGCTCTGGACATTTTAACAGATCCTGCTGTGAGCAGTGGAACTAATAAAAGATGATTCCCTGTGGATCTCATGCCTTATGGTTGGATTTGATTGTGCCTAAAAAGGTGCAATCACTAAACGAATCTTCCTTTCTTCAGCTGAACTATTCAGACCATATCATTGTGTAGACCTGCTGTGATCAAACAGGAGACGGAACATGTACCACACCCTTTTACTTGCATGGATGCTAAGAAACTCACTCTCCTCCACTTGCATATTCCCCACTTATTTATCTCAAATGTAGAGAAACTTAGTATCTTTGAAACCTTTCTGCGTCCTTTGTCAGATTGCTGGAAGTTGGACAGAAAGTTCACTAGTTGCTGAGGGGACATAAAAGTACACAGAGAGGCAGTGTTGTTACGTACGCCTCATTTCCTTAGAAAAAGCTGATTGTCCCAGTGTATATGGTAAAGGCAGCACTGGGCTGCTGCTGCTGCTTTGACTGCCAGTCAGAAGGAGCTGAGAAACAGACTGTGGAGAAGAGAATGGAGTGGGAACAGTGTGCAAGAGGAAGAAGCTAGCTCGGGGATGTGTATGAGAGAATCAGGATATTTTGTTTTGTGTATCTGATTGTTCTGTGGAGCTGCTGAGAACTTCTGGACAGAATTGGGGCACTGCTTATCTAGACATGCGAGTGATTTTGGGGAGAAAGTGACTCCATAGCAAGAGATAACAGCTCAGCAGATGGACTCAGTGCAGTTGCTGGATGTGGTCTCTGGGCAGGCAGAGAACTTTGGCAAAGGGATTTTGCTCAGCGTGACCAGACGAGCAGGAAGCAGTGAGGGAACAAAGTAAGCCTAGGGACAAGTCTTTGTGGTGCAGCTAGGGAGTGAAGTGCAGGTTTCAGTCCATTGTTTTCAAATACATTTTTTAAGCTAGGTTAGATGCAGTTTTATTGATTTGGTCTTGTCCTGATCCTTTTCCTATAGTAGGCTTCTCCTGGCACAGCACTGTCTGAAACATTAGCTGTATCTGAGCAGCGTAAGAGGGAAAGTCCAGCTCCTGCTCTGACAGCTTTTGTCTTGGGTAACTGGCCTGCAGTTGCAGCAGTGACTAAACTTCATTTGATTTCTCACTTTTGGTGAGGTAGTACTTTTCCTGATTTTCCTGTCTTAACTCCTACTGTCCAGAGTGGGCACAGCACAGAATAAAAGCTCTAGAAAGGCACCAGGAACAGGTTAGATGTGATTTCCAAGGCATCTCATCATTCTTAATATGCTGAATGGTTGCATGTGTGTGTCTGCTGTTCTTTAAACAGCTGTTGATGGTAAAAGGGAATTCACTGCTGATTCCGAGGGGTAGTGTATTTTATTTCAAGTTTGCCGTTGAACATACAGTTCCGTTCAGGATTTTCTGATGCTTTAGAGGTTCAAGTGTTGCATCTGTCGACCTTATTTTGTGCAAGCTCTGTATCAACAAGTGAGCATATTTAGCATTGGCTCATGTTGATTAATTCCATGAAGTTCTGTGAATGGCTTCCAAGGATCAACCAGCAGTAGGTCTCTACTAATGTATATCACATGAAATGCATACAGCAAAATGGAACCTTCATCAGCCTTCCCAGAGAACTGGATTCTTATAGAAGGAGTATGATCTTTCCACACTGAGGTAAATCTTACGGTAAAATCATACATATTTGAATGACAGCACTTGAAGACTGGATGAACCATCTGAGGATGCTGAAAATGCTACATGTCTCTTTGAGAGATTTGTCTTGGGGAGAATGCAATTTCATTCACTAACCTGGCTACAAGTATTCATTCTCCAATATGAGCTAAACTTTAGGTAGACTTAACAGCTGAAGACCAACAGTTTAAATACTAGCAATTCCTTATCAGAAACTGATTTACCAGAAACCTCTGTGTTGAAATAGAAGATGTTGACATCTATTGGGACCCTTTTGCCCTCAGGCACTTTCCACTGAGGGAGAAACAACAACCAATTTATCTTCTTTTCCATTGCTTAAAACTCTGTCATACCGTGATCACATCCCCTGGAATTGAAACCTTGCCTGTTCCATTTGGTATTTTTTATGTTAGATGCATGAATGCTTTAAGAGATGGAAGGAGGCAATGAAAATTATAATTCTCTGAAATTGCTGCGTAAAAGGACATGTGAGCATGCCCTTGCTGCATGGTAGTCACAAGTGGATTCATCCAAAGAGCTGTCACTTCAGAGAACAGCAAGCATGAGCAGCACTGGTATAGACACTGCTGTGATGTAAATGCTGAGCTGCTTGAGCTTGTGTGGGAGGTGTTGATGCATTTCATTGCTCAGCATTCAGCAGTTTTGTCCCCTTAGTTTAGAGGACACTAATAAATTATTACCATTTCATACAAAATTATGAACCACATCTTAAAGTTTAGATGTGGTATGACACTGGCGTTATAAAATTAAGAGAGAGATATTTAAAGAGAAAAGCGAAGTGCTGCCTGCCTTTGCAGTTGTCATAACTAATAGTTGTGTTACACAACAGAGAACTGTATGTTGCTTTTTTGGTTTGTTTAGAATTTTATAAAAATCTGACAAGAAGAAATGAATTATCAAATGGGAGAAAGGGTGCTATTTTTCTGCTAAACTGCTTGCTCTGGCAATCAGATTTAAGACATAAATCCTTAGGATGCGTAGCCATCTCATGTGACTTAAAAACCACAATAGCTTAAAGGATGCCGCTCTAGAATCAATTTGCATCTGTTGTTGGTGATTTTCCTTATAAAGTCAAGGCATCATTCTTAAGAAAATGGTGAATTGGTGGATCATGACCTCCTTTATAAGGTTCACCTTCTCAGCCACTGAAATAGTACAGCATTTGTCTATAGGAGCAAATGCTGAAAGGCAAACGTGTTGAAAAGAGGTGAAGAGCCTTTAAATGTCTTTGTAACTGTTAATCCTGGTTCCCTGTGGGCCCCTCTCTTCCCCCCTCCCCCTTTTCTTCTAATTTTTGCATCAGAAAAGCTTTCACTTTTTTTTTTTTCTTTAAAACAGCTGCATGAGACTCAAGACCAGATTTTTAATGGGTATTGAAGACAAACAAAGACAGTGGCTGCAGAAATGAAGTCTACTAGAGGCAATTGGTTCTTTTGTTCATTTGGAGAAAAACAATCAGGTTTCTGAAAAAAGAGCAAAGACAGCCAGTGGAATTCTGATTTAATGTCATTATTTGCAAATCTTCAGATCTTGTTTCAGCTGGGTATTTCCCATGTGTCAGGTGGGACCAAGCAATTTTCAGTGTTGTGAAATGAAGCTCACAAACTTTTTCTGTTTCATTTAAAAAAATGACAGGAAAAGTTCAAACTCTGAGATGTTTCTTGGTGTTTTTTGTTGCTGGTTTTTGTTGGTTTTGTGGGGTTTTTTTAGAGAGGGTTCTTTGTGTCATCCTAATTTCATGCACAGTCCTATGGATTTCCATGTGATGATTTCTCTATTGACATAATGTCCCTATAATTAATGTTACTATAATTGAACCTAACACTAAGTCTGTTGTTATGCTAAATTGGGCCCTGGTGGGCGCTGTGAACTTCTAAACAGGCTTTCCTCATTACCCCTGCTCTGTG